AAGTTGAATGTCTTAAGTAGCTATACCAAGATGGATAAAGATACAAGTGAAGGAAAAAACCTTTTCAAAAAAGGAAGTAAATGTAGGGATGGCTAATACCAATCCTTCAAAAACAATCATAACAAGACAGTAGGGAAGCCATTTGCATCATCCCTACATAATAGCACAGGCACACATTGTAGTAGAATGTTAACAGACAAAAATGGGATATATTAATCTCAATTTTGATTGAATAGTTACATATATTGCTATATGTTAATTCTTTCCTGAGCTATTATGTAGGGATGATACAAATGCCATCCTTACTATCTTGTTTGCATTGTTTTTGAAGGATTGATATTAGCCATCCCTATATTTACTTTCTTTTTTGAAAAGTTTTTTGTTTACTTGTTTTGTTTAATGCAGTGTTTCAATAAACATATGAAGATTGTATTTATATCCAAATTCAACATACAATGAGGTTCTATTTATTGGTTGGTAATTCCAAATTTTTATAAGAAACCTAACTTCAAGGGGTAATAATAACATCATTTACTCTAGAATTATGATTTTTTTTAAATTACTACTAGTTAATAATACTTATAAAAGCAGATACTCCATTTGAAAGTATGTCATCTCAGTGAAATTGTTTTTAATAAAAAATAAAATCAAAAAAGAAGAACAAGAAATTCAGTTTTTTTTTGCTATGATATTTACAGACATTCCCAGAACTTGTGACTCAGCCATTACATAGATATTGTTATAAAAGAAAACAGTATGTAGTATTGTAAAGTTCTGATGACCTATTGAGGAGATATTTGAAATAGAATTTCAAGGAACAATCTGACCATCCCTACATAGGCAGTGCTACTGCCTGTCTGATATCAACATTAATTTGAACTATGGTTCAGTAATGAAGATTATCAATCAAAGATTACCTAATTCTATGAATCACAATTCAAAATTAACTAAAAAGTTAATGGATCTATTTGTATACATCAAACTGATTAGAAGTGCATACTGTTGCCAATCAACATAAAAGAAAATGAAAACCATGTATGATAAGAAAACACATACATTGTTTCATCAGTTGGGTATATACCCTCACTATTAATAATATTTTCAGGTGAAAACCTATTAATGTCTCATGAGGATCAAACAGATTAGGAAATTTAGGTTAGTCTAATAAGTTAACAATATAAAATAATCTTGTAAGGGAAAAGATTAATAATACAAAAAGTGGTGATATCAAAAATTATTTTAAATATTATAAGTAATATTGTTAAGTCTGAAATATAGTATGCCATTGCCTACAAACATACAAGAACTAGTTGTTTGCTCCTATGATCTGTCGCTGGTTCCCTAGAAAAATGAGATACACAAATTACTATTTAACCTTTACAAACAATAGAAGTGACCAGTGAAAACTAATTCTTGGTCTTGATGATGTAACATTAATTAGTTTGATGTCAAAGGTGATAAATATAAATGGCGTTCAATACATATTACTATTTAGCTATAGAGTTGATAATAGGATGATAATGAATGAAATGCTTCAACCAAACAGAATGGATTATTAGTGTCGAGTATAATTTATTTCTAAAGCTGATTTATGCATAAAAGTATTAAAAAAGAGTAAGGATACGAGTTGAAAAATTCTTCATATGCCTTTTCTTTTACACAGTAATTTCCATACAGTAACATTACTTTTACATAAGTTTTTTGTTTTGGAATTAAATCAATTTTTGGAATCTTTCTAAAATTATGAATCTGTGTTTTAAATGTTCTTTCTACAGTACGTTTTCAAGGATCTTTGGTACTTTTAGCTGAGATCACATAGTTTCAGTGGTGTAGCAAGAGGGGGCAAGGGGAGTCAAGTAGCCCCCGGCGCAAGTGTGAAGGGGGTGCAAAATTTCCTCTGGCCTATAATGCCTATTAATTAATAATTATGCCCTCCCCTAGGATATAATGCAACTGCCCTACATTAAGTAAATATGACACAGTGTTACGTTATTTGTGTGTGTTATGCTTGCAGTTTTAACTTTTAAAAGCTGCCCACTGAAATACAGTGAGACCGAATTGACGTACAGGAATAAATTACAATATTCCATCATTCATCTGTAGATCAAATGCAAGTCCTAGAGTACAACGTACAAGAAAATATGAGATTGATGTAACATATTGTTACATCTCTGTATGTTTGTTTGTTAATTCTTCTAAGATACAAGTCCTTTTTTTATAAAACTTGTTTATTCTTCTTCAATACAACTTTGTAATGTACTTAATTTTCACAGTTACAAACACTATAGTTCACAACAATTCACTCACTTTCTTTCGTACTTAGACTTAATTGTCCGTCCCCACCAACTATAGTTCCGATCTCTGTGTCTGCTATCCTCAGTTCCCGCCGACCGTAATCGCTGTCTTTCTTTCTCTC